TCTGAGAATATTCTTGCTAGAGGTTGTAGCTAATAAACATAGCTGGACTGCATTGGCATTGTCTCTTGGAGTTCCTTGGGCTAGGCCTGACATCAGTCAAGAAAATGTTTGTCTCCCTGAGTTTGGCCTTCATAATTCCATTCCATCACATTAGCTGAAATTACATTGTGTGTTCACAAGAGGGAGGCAGATCAGAAGAAGTATGAAAAAAACTTTGTGAGAAGAAAAGGCTAAAGTTGAAAGGGAAGCTCTCACAAGGTCTGAACATGCTCAAGGCCACCAGAAGCTCTTTGTTTAGTGAATAGCTGGAATGGGATAGTCTTCAAGAAAGCCTGGGGGGCCAGAAGCTGAAGAGCCTTTGAATAGCTTTGGTACCTCTTCCAAGACTCACTTTTTGTTCTTGGGTTAATGGTCTTCCTCTCTCACCATTTTTCAGATTGGCTGCCTTACGGAATTGATTCTCCCACACCCTCGCAGACTGTTGCTCCTGCCTTGTTCTCCTCAGATTTGGGGGGGGGGTCCTGCCTTGGGTCCTGGCCTTCCAGCCCTCCTACCAACCTCTCCAAGGGCCAGAAAGAAGATTGGCCTCTCCACTCCTCCAGGCCTGCTGTGTCCAGTGGTGGACCTGCTCCTCATCCAGCAACGATAGCTACTTTCTAAAGAAGCAGCGGTGACAGCAAGGGTCTGTGTGAGTGTGCCTGGTCCTTGGTGAAGGGCTCTCCTGGAAGGGATGCCCTTTCTCCCCCACAGCTTCTCCTTCCAGCCTACACTTCCCATCCTCCTCCTCCTCGGTCTGATGCGAGGAACACGAGCGTGCAACGCTTGCCCATGGTGGAAGCACGGCCCTTGCAGGAGTTAGGTCATATGTTCCTAAGAGGGTCAGGAACCTCACTGGTGCTATGTGCGTGGATTCTGATGTGCTGGTGGTTCCTCCTGATATCAGTTCCTGCCCCGTTCCCTTTTCATGGCTTATGTGTGCGGGAAGAACAGGCTGCTTGGAAGTAGAGGAGATGCTGCCTGGAAGATGGAGATGTCCCTTTTTCTGGCAGCTGTGGAACCTGCCTTGAATTTGCACACCATGAAGTGACCTTTGAAAGCAGAGACCTGCAACCCCTTGGCCTCTATGCATGCACCACACCACACCTTCCCCTCCCAAAAGCTTGTCGTGTGGGGGTGAGGGAGACGGTTTGCCTGCGTCTGGAGCCCCCCTTTCCCCAAGAACATCTCAGCTGCAGGAGAGGATCCTCCTGCAGAGAGAAGGGCCTTCCCCTAACTGGTGTTTCAGCTGCCCCCATTACTACTGCTAACAAGCATCAGGGCCTCCTCACATTGGGCAGAAAGGGGGGAGGGTATAAATGAGAGCCAAGGCTGCCTCCCCTCCTCCTTGAGGGTTCCATCTTATTTAAAGAAGAGAGAAGCTTGTGATGGGAAGTATTCCCCCTCTGCTGCTGGCATTTAAAAGCGTATTTCTCTCTTCACTCCTCAGTTGCTTGAGGCGGCCCTGCTCTCTGAGCTCCGGGCTGGGGAGGAAGAGAGACGATAACCATCCTTGCTGGAACATTTTTTTTAAAGATTTCCAACACTTGGAAAAATTGTCTTTGCCTTTTTTCTTTTTTGTAAATGAAAAGTGAATGTTGTCAGTTGTTCAATGCTGGCTTAAATAAACAAACAAACTCTCTCTCTCTCTCTGGAAAGCAGGTGCTGCATGGGGGTTTGCAAAGCTGGTTCACCGAGTGTGTCGGCCGGCACCCTGAGAGGGAGCTGCTACTCACTGAAGCAGTCTCGTTGTTTGAGATGCACAGAAGGAACGAAGGCTGGCTCTATGCTTTGGGGGCAGAAGGGGAGAGGAACTTCTGCAGGAAATGGCTTCGCCGCTAGAGGGCTTCTTTTCCCTCGAAGGGGGTACTGTTTCCCGTGGAAGGTGGCGCTAGGTCCATCTTCACATGCATGGCTTACTGGAGAAGGGTAGGGGTTCCTTGGACCACTGTCCCAATGGGTGTGGTACACAAGCCTACTTAGATAGCCAGTTACGTAGCAGGCAATCCTTGTCAGCCACATAGGTAGACCAGATCAGGACATCAGGAAGAACTAGAATTATTTTTTATTGACATTAGCGATAATCAGAGAATTTTGCAAGTTTGATTGTTCTGTACTTCCTGTCCTAATACCCCCGTGAATCAGGGAGGTGTCTGCCTGAGCCACTTCCAGATGTTACTTCCTTTCTCAGGGCTTAAAAAACGTTTCAGCCCTCCTTGCCTGGGTAATGGACCACAACTGGGACCAGCAACTCAGTCGCTAAGTGAAATGGTGGCTAAGTAGGAAATCACAAGGCCCTGACTGCACATTTCCCCAGGCCCTGCCCGTTGGAACGCCGGCCCCTGCAGTGCTGGGACAGCTGCTCAGGACTGGCACCCGTGGTCAGTTTCACATCTTTGTCTTTGTTCCCCTCCATCTGCTCCACCCCAGCGCTGGGATAATTAGCAAGAAGGGAATTAATGTTTGTATTGGTATTCATTGGAGGGGAGGGGACTACAAGAGAGTAAGCAGGCACGCAGTGGGAAATACACATCGAAAGCAATGTGGTGGCACTGGCAGCCCCAAGGGCGCTACACAAACAGCTCGGTGTATTGCCCATTGTGTGCCTGCTTATTCTCTCGTAATCCCTTCCTCTCTAATCTCTGCTCTGTAGGGTGTCGCTCTCTAGGCTCCACCGTGCCTGTCCAGCATTAAGCACGCTCCCATTACCTGCAGAGGAAACAAGATGTCTAGCAAGTGCTTTGAAGGGTTCATGATGTTCCCATTAGGGAAGGAGAACTGATTGAGGCTCCAGGGGTGTTTTGGCCTCAAGAAACTGGCAATAAGTTAAGGGAGGTAATAAGAGATAGGCAAAGAATTGGGCAAAAGTGCCTCAGCAAAATTTGGGGTGTGATAGGAGTAGGATGCAACAGTGCCTCTCCTTTCCGAACCCTGAAGGATCCTCATAGTTGACAAGGAAAGAGATCCTGGGGCTTCTGTTAGATTAGCATGGAGAACAATAACAGTAGGAACACGGCAGGCAAAACCCTGGGATGGTGTCCTTGGTTGGAGTACCCATAGTACGTTCGGCATCCTCCTTCCAGTTCCTGGAAGGCAATGGGTGCGTCATCAGGAGCAACTCTTTCGTAAGCCATCTCATCCCGCACCTAAGGAAGGAGAAGGGCTTGTTTAGATTAGTTCGTCCACTTGCTTGGTTTCTATTTCTCCCCCATCTTCTCCGTAACAATCCTCTCAGGTAGGTTGGGCTGGGAAAGAAAACGACTGGTCCCAAGTCACCCAGTGAGCTTCCATGGATGGAGGTGAACTACAGTCGAGTTCAACTGTTACAACACACTCTTTCATCTAGAGTCAAATTATCATCTTGGCTGCGAAGAGGTTCTCCAGAGACAAGCAGCCCAAACAGAAGAAGAGGAGAATGAGCACAAGGTGAGGACAAGAGAGATGCTGAGGAGAAGGCTTTGGGCTTGGCCCTTGCCAGTCTAGAGCTCAGGTTCTTCATGCCCAAGCCTCCACCACCTGCCTCCAGCCCCTCTTTAGGTCTCAGAGGTCTCACCTTCTCCACTTCCCGCAGCACCCGCAAGAGATTGTTGGCCAGGGCATCCTTCACTTCCTCCTCTGTCCATTTCCTCCTCAGCAGTTCTGCAATTAAGTCTGGGTATTTGGAGACGTCCTCTAAGCCAAGAGGGACTCTGTGGGCCAAAAAGAACCAAGAAAATTCTGAGAAATTAAGGTCAGGGCTTCATGACTCCCCACCCCCACTTCCTCTCTTCTCGTCCCAGTGGGAGGAAAACAGCCTTCTCTTTGGTGCTGCCCCCACTCCAGGAGCCACTCCGTGCACGCACTTGCTTCTTAACCGGCCATATCTTGGTCAGAGTGCAAGAAGTCTAAGTACTAGGAGCTCCTTCCCTCTCAAGATGCCTGTTCATTCAAGGTCATCCACATACATGTAATGTACATGTAATACATGTAATAGGGATGTGGTTCCTGCAGCCCTTCGTTAAATTCCCTGCTAGTGCCGTTCTTGGCAGCTGCCTACAGCTTCAAGCAGTAATGTCACCCCAGTCTTGGGGCTTCTTTGAGGCCTTTAGACAGGCTGTCCCCTTGCAGGCCAGGCTTCTTTCAAGTCTACGCTCATCCCCCCACATTCTCCTGCTGATACCTGGGCACCCCATCGTAGTCTCCTCCGATGCCGACAGACTTTGCTCCAGCAATACGCTTTATGTAGTCCATGTGGTCTGCAGGTGGGAAGAATGGAAGGTTGGCCAGCTCTCTGCATGCCTGAATTCCCACTCCCCGGCCTCCTTACATGCCATTCCTGCTCTGCTGTATTTACCTGCTACCTGGGCCAGGGTGGCACTGGTGCTGCAAGAGACGTAGTCATTGTAGAAGTTGACCATTACAAGGCTGCGTGTCTCATTCTGCAAGAAGAGGAGAGGACAACATCAAAGGGGGGCACCCAGAAGCTGATGCCCAGAAACACAGCAAGGCCTCATTTTTCTCTGCCACCTCCTTGCTCTGCTGCACCCAACAACGTGTCCTGGTAGGTGGTTGGCCAGTCCCTCAGAAGCGGGCATGCTGAGCCAAGGAAGAACTTGCTGACAATCAAAAGCTTCCCACATGACCTGAATTGACTCTGGTGGAAGCAGGTGCCCCCACATTCACAAACACACACAGCCTTGCTCACCACTCGGCGGAGCACGTCGTCTGGTACGTTCCGTTTGTTTGAGCAAATTGCATACGCCGAGGAGTGGCTGAATATCACCGGGGCCCTGGAGATACTTAAGGCAGCCTTCATCGTTTCCACAGAGACGTGGGACAAATCAACCATCATGCCTAAGCGGTTCATCTCGTGGACCACACGCTGTGGAGCAAAGAAATGGAGGCATGTTTGGCCTGGAGAGAAAGAAGAGCTTCTGATTCCACCTTAGCACTGTGAATTTGTGAGCAGATGAACTTGGGAGACTCTGCCTCTGAATTCAAGAGGAAAAGCCTAGGAAAGCATTGGAGGACTCAGGACTGCCCCAATCTCTCTTTCACAGGCACTCATTTCCAATAAATGGCTCTAGTGAGGCACGTTCTTCCTATTTCGAGTCAATCCAGATCCAAGGTTTGCTCATTCATGGTGGTTACTTATGCCAACACATTTTCAAAGCTCTTGTGAATCTGCTCTGCTTCAGGCCAATGACAAAGCATCTTCTCCATTTCATACGTGAAATGCCCTGCTTTTGTAGAAGTGGACAGCCCACTTCCCCCATTCAGATCCTTCTGCAGAGCCTTCACTGACCTTCCCAAATTCCGTCAGACCATTGTGAACTGGCTGCTCTTCGGCTGTATCTACCAGCCAGTTATCAGCCCTGTCAAGGAAAGTAGACACCAGATGAAGCGAGCAAAGAATCAGCGCTGCCTGGCAAACAGTTGGGGGGGTGGGGGGAAGTCTGTGTGTGCCCCTGCAGGTTCCCTTCTCTGCACCCTCCTGCCCTAAAGGGTCTTTAGGTGGTCCCTTCTCTGACCGAAAATGTGACTAGGGTACCGTTGAAATGAAATGACCCGTGACACTCTTCTGCCTTGGCAGACTGTACAACAGCAGTGCGGTGTTACTTGGCCCCTGCTCAAGGCCCTCAGGACTATGCCCAGGTGTTTGAAAGCTGGCCCCAGAACCTCCCAGGCTTACCAGGGAGTGTTACAACTGTGGGTGAGGGTCATGTAGCGCACGCCCAGCAGATAGAAGGTGCGCAGGACGGCCAAGCTGCTGTCGATGGAGTGCCCCCCCTCCACGCCAATTAGGCTGGCCACACGGCGAGTGCCAAAAGTCTTCTGGATACCTGCAAGAGAAGGATTTCCATCCAGCTTCCAGGGTCACGTACTCATTTTATGGGGCAGTCAGCTGGGAGTATGAGATGGCTTGAAGCCGTAAGCCAGACTTTCGCAATTAAGGCTAGCTTGCCCTTCCCTGCCCCAGTCCGGCTAGTGTTTTGTATATTGAATAATGGAGAATTCTAGCAGAGACTGAGTTCACACATTGCACTAAGGCAGCTAAGAGTCTGATGGGCACATAGAATGTTGGCCTGGTTCACATATCAACTAAGCAGTGGCTTGCTTAACTGTTGACTTCTTGAATAAACCGCAGTCACCTGGATTCACGCAGTGTAGCAAGCCAAAATCAAACCAGGGTGATGTGTGAATGCTGTCATTGTGTGAACCCAGCCATGATGTTTTGTGGCCCATGGGTTATAGGCAGCAATTTGTGGTTTAGTCAATGAACCATGGTTCAACAAATGATAGCATGTATTACATGCCAGTCCAGCTCCAGAGAGTTTCTCTTGCCACAACAGGGACTTTAGAACTGGGATGGAAAAATTGACAAGGATAAAATTAGCATTGGGTTTTGGCTCTGATTCCAGAGCAGTTGCTGATGGCCACACCAAAGGAGTTCTGCTGCTTCTTCCTACCATGAAGGGCCAGATGCTGGATTTGGTAGGCCTGGGGCTGACCCTCAGTGTTTGGATACCACTGGAATCACCTTGACCAGCCCACGTGCCTAGCCTGGTGCCTTCCTCATTTGTTTTGCGCCATGTGCTGAGAAGACACAAGTCAAGAAGCAACCTCCAACTGCACCACCTCCTCACTTACTTGCACCGTCAGTGACACACTCAAAGTCATCTGGGTATTGGTGGCACATTCGATGGATGACATCGATCTGCTCCAGGGTTCGCTTTACTGCGTCTTTGTTCTGGGTGTCGCAGGGCACGTAGGCTGCCCAGAACTGCGCAAGGAAGGGAAAGGTCTGTCGAAACTGCCTTGTTTATGCTTCCTGTGTGAATGTTATCACTCACTAGGAGGCCACAGAACATCAGCAGATAGTCTAAGGTTGGGGTGCAGGTGGGAAGGATTTGTGGTTTCTACAGGAAGGAAGTGCTCAGGTAGCAGAGCTCGGACCCCACACACCCCACGTGTGTTTTGAAGCACACGTACAAAGTTGAAAAGCAGCCAAAAGACTTAACAAATAAGTTTGGCCTGAAGGCTTTAAATAAGCAAACTTGTACGGTTTAGCTACCTGCAACAATCTGAATGATCGGATGATTCAGCAGGAAAGTTAATCTCTGGGATTTTGAGTTTCGCTGTATGCAACACTTGCAAGGGTCTTTTGTCCGTCTCTTACCTGTGCCCCCACACGCCCGAGACGCAGCTTGGCAATATTGGTATGAGTGCCTTCCAGCTCATACAAACTGGCCGACTTCAAAGATAGCTGGTTGTTGAATTTTTTCAGCAACTGCCAGGGTAGATCGTTGTGACTACAAAGGTGAAAGATAACATCTTATCAGTTTGAGTAGATGCTGGGTTATGATTCGAGAGGCTGATTAAAGCAGGTTAATTTGTAGAGCAATTGCCCTTAGAGAGCCAAGGCCGAGATGACACCAGTTACCGTTCCTTACATCAGATTAAAGGATGTGCCCTGTGGTTGTAAATCAGTAGCTACCAGTTGTTTGTGAAACTAAGGCTCTAGCTTGTTTTGATCAGAGAAAGCGCAGCAAAAAACTGTTCCATACTTATTGAAATATTTAAGCAGGGTTGGATAAAATAACTGCCATAGGAGGTATAATTTGGGGATTCAAAATCACATGGATTGATTTTGTCCTCCGAAGACTAAATTTTTGTCTGAAATTCACAGCACTGTTAACCTTAGAGAGGGAGGGTAAAATATAAATGTACTTGTAAGTGCTGTTAAGAAGACTGGAAGCTGCTTCTTTATAACCTCTTTTCTTTTCTTTTCTTTTCTTTTCTTTTCTTTTCTTTTCTTTTCTTTTCTTTTCTTTTTTCTTTTCTTCTCTTTTTCTTTGCACTTTTTTCACTGATGACTTTTCTTTACTTTCCTTTTTTCGAAATTTTATTCTTTTTATTCTTTTAAAAAATCTTTAATAAAAACTATATT